TTATTCACGCACACATAAGCCTCCAATAGCTGAGGAGGAAGAAAAAATGAAGCTAAACACACACACGCACACAAAGGTGTCAAACCTGAACGAAGAAGCAGTGAAAAAACAAGCATGAATGAAGGATTCTGATGACTTCGCACACTCAACAGGAGAGACAAACTAGTGAAGCAAGATGCACGCAATTGGTGAGAAGAAGAACAAGTTTGAAGGTAAGGTTTCGAAAGTTATGAGAGAAATGAAGTCTAAGTCGGTGAAGAGAAGAGACGAGAGTGCTCTGTTTTTGCGATCGCGCAAGATATAAAAAACTAAATAAAGAAGTTTTGGAAAAATTACAGGCAAGAACACGAGCAAATCACAAGAACAAGCATAATAAAATTACAAAAAAGAGCACTATATTTTTCTATAATTTTAAAATTGAACTTTTGACCAAAAAACTTTGGACCCTTGATCCTTGAGAAAATTTGTAACATAAATTCTTATAAACTATTCCTTTCTACTTACTATTGAACTTATTTAAATAAAATATCTATTAGAAAAAAAATTTAATTTAAAATTTAGGGTCATTACACTTTTAAATATTTTAAATTTGATGTAAATCATTTTCACAATTCATAAGGTGTTTTTTTCATTTTCTTATAAGATATCCTATTTTGTAAAAAACATGTAAACAAAATAGTTTCACCCCTACAAGTTATCAAGTGCAGGAAAACTTACAAGCAAAGCATTTATCATTTCTTTTAATGTTCTATTTTTCCTTTCTACAACACCATTAGACTCGGGAGAATAAGAAAGTGTCTTTTTCACAAAAGTCATTTAACAAAACATATTCTCTACCTTTATCAGATCTAATTCTTTTAATCTTTTTGTTTAACTAATTCTCAACTTTTGCCTTGCATGAAAGAAATTTTTCAAAACCCTCATCTTCATTTTTTAACAAGTATACCTTAGTATATCTTAAAAATTCATCAATAAAAGTCATATAATATTTTTTAACACCTCTAGTCATGGTTTGTTTTAAATTACCTAAATCAATATGAATTAAAGATAGTAATTCAAATTCTCATTAACTAGAAAAATGAGGTTTTTTTTTTTTTGTTTGCTTTCCACACACACTTCACATTTTTTAAAATCATTGTTTTTAATTTTAGAAAATAGTCCAAGTTGTCGCATCTTATTTATATAACCTTTACTAGTGTGACCTAGTCTAGTATGCCATAAATCAAAGAAATTAATCATATAAATAAGCATATACTCATAAGATATAGTCTCATGGATATTCAAAATAAACAGTCCTTGATTATAATACCCTTTCCCCACAAATACATTATTCTTTGTCATTACAATCATGTTACATTCAAATGACACTTTAACCCCAGCTTCCCTTAACAGAGCAATTGAAATAAAGTTTGCTGTAACTTTAAGCATATGTAGAACATCATTTAGATTTAGAGTCTTTCCTAATGTGAGCTTCAAGATCACTTTTCCTTTCCCTTAAAGTTTAGCAGTTTGAGAATCAATAAGGTAAACACGGTCTTCCCCTTCCTTTACAAGATCAAAGAGGTAAACATCTCCCAATTAGCACACATGTGCCTAGTAACCCTAGAGTCTACTACCTATTTCTTCACATCAAAAATCAAGAGAGCTTGAGGCATGACTACAGTGATGATATCATCATCATTGTCACCATCTCGTTGTACCAAATTTACATTTGGCTTTTGAGGCTTATCACAGTTCGCTCTCTTCCTACATTATGCTACACAGTGTCTTGGTTTACCATGGACAAAATAATCTCTTTTTTTCTTGAAAGAGGGGTTAGAAGAATTGGGTTTGTAATCAAATTTCCTATTCTTTTTGTTATCTTTGTTTTTAGGGTCATACCTCTTGTTTTGAGGCTTTATCTCCACTAGATTGGCTTTGGATGTCATTTCTCTAGTTCGAGCTACACGTACTACCTTACAGTTGTGTCTTCAATTATGATGTGAGTGATCAAGTCAGTCAAGGATAATTGCTTCGTTTGTGTTTTAGCTATTATTTGTAATCATTGCATGATTTTGATAACTTCTCAATAAGGATTCCAACAATAAACTCATCTGGAAGGTTGACATTTTCAACATGAAGCTCCTCCAGTAGCTTGTGATATTCATTGATTTGCTCCTTCACATCCTTATTCTTGGTCGTCTCTCATCTATAGTAGTTTTCCATAATGAACTTTTGTTTGCCAACATCTTAAATAGTGTACTTTGTCACCAGGGACTCTTATATCTTACAGGCTTCCTTGTAAATACAGTAGACATTGAACAATTCATTAGATAAGTGTTAATAATAGTGTGTTGGCATATCTTATTTGCATAAGTCCATGCAACTCTCTAGGCTTGGTTAGCGTCCGTAATAGGCTTAGGTTGTGCAAGAGCAGCAGCCACACTGTGCATATTAAGAATGGTAAAGACTCATTCCAACCACCATTTGAAATTCTTGCCGTCAAAGACCTCAATCTTTGATATGTTCGAAAATGGCCTCAACAAGAGGACGACAACTGTGACAGGGATGTATTGATCTCTACTCAAACCATTAGGCATATTCTCAGGGATGACATTGTCAGCATTGTTAGATGCCATTTATATCACACCCCGATACTAAGGGTATAATCAGCATGGACTATGAGGTAAACTCATATTCGTTAAGCCTTGATTAACTAAAGATTAAGATAAAATATTGATAAATATCCCTACTAATCAAAATAAAGTCTCATATATATATATATATATATAATTTTAAGGTTAGTAAAATTTTATACATTCTATAAAAACTTTGGCAAAATCTCCCCTATAATTAGGATCTCCCAAAATTTTTACAGTAGTGAAACCTATCAACCAAAACCAGAAAGGAGCTTAGCTCCACACCAATAGATTTCACAATAACAAATAAAGTCTAGTATCTAACTCTAGTATATGTAGAGCATTAAATTACAATTTGCATAATACAATATATATTCACATCAACAAAATGACTAATGCATGCTTCCACTGTCCTAAGAAGCAATAGAGCCCCTCAATCATTGGTAGGAGACATAAGGTTAGCCAAAATATCTGAGACTAAAGAAATTTCTGGTGAGTAACATTTCAATCAAAATTATAAATAAAAAAATTACGAAGACAGTAACTAATAAATTTGATTTAAAACAAATCAAATGAAATAATGAAATATATACTTAAACTAACAATAAATAATGAGCTTCTTCAATAATATAACATGAAATTAAACAATGCTGATAAAGCCATATAAATTTATCAAAATTTGTAGTGCTTATAGAATATAAAAATTTCAAGCAATGGTATAACTATGTAGAATGCTTTTAAAGAACTGGAAAAACAAATTTTAATTTAAATCCAAAAGGGCTTTATCAAAACAAATAACAAACGTGAACACGCAGTCCATGAGGGTAAATAACTAATCAAGTGCGTACACACAATCCACGAGGGCAAATAACTAATCAAGCACAGACACATAGTCCACGAGGGTAAATAACCAATCAAGCATGACTGAAAGCTACGAAACAAACATGGCAAGAGCCACCAAACAAGCATAAGCAAGAGGCCTACAAAAATAAGCATGAGTACAATGCTAACAAATAATCATCCCTCCATTCCACGTGTATTGGCCATTGCACAGGGCTAGCACTTCTAATGCACCCTGTTAGCTAGGTGTATTATGGCACGGCAAGGGTTAACAGAACTGTCATTAGCAACCAACGTTCTAAACTTAATCCCTTTAAATAAAAACCAAGCTTGTATTGAGCAAGAAAGCAATATCAAAATTTTCATTTCCAACCATATCGTTTAACTATTATCTTCCCATTGTCCAAATTCATTTTCATGTCAAATGTGGAATTAAATAATTAAGCTGTAATAACATCAATTATTGGTAAATTCAAGACAGGATGATCAATAAAACAATTATTATAAGAATTGAATTAAAAAAATATATTAATAAAATTTACAAGGGAATGATATTAAAATTCAAATAAGAAAATTTTTATAAATACATTAATAAAATTATATTTGAAACACTACCCACTCACTCACCTGAGTTTTCAAAAATTTTAAAGCGTGCTTTTCTCAACCTTTCACTTTAATTCTAATGATGCCCTTACTTTCCTGACAAAAAAATCGTAATTGTAAAATTATTTATCAAGAAATTTTCTTTTCCAATCAATTAATGGGCATTTGAATTTTATCTAAATAATATTAAATATAATACTCTGACCAATTATGTTTCAAGTACTTTTTGATTAGTTAAACCATTTAACAAATCTCAATCCATTCTCACACTTCTCATTCTCAATCAGAAATCATAGTAAATTATTTATATCATTTTTACTCCTCCTTTAAACTTAATAAAATATTGTACAAGTATCCTTTATAATCATTCCCCCTATTTTAGTATTTATTATCATTAGTTCATTTATTTATTTATTTTAATTACAGATATAGATTAGACAAATGGAAAATCCATTTGTCAAAGATTCAATTTTAAAAATACACCCAGCTTTCATCATCAGCATATGCAGTACACAAGATTAAATACAAATAACAGTAGTTTTCTCCCATTTGTGACTATCAGTAGTTATATTCATGAGTTTCAGCTACAATCAGCCTTGTATCAAAGAAGAAATCCACCAAAACTAGACATGCTATTCACGTTTATGTATCAAATTGGAAAAGGAAAGGCTGCAAAGAAAATAGAAAAGCACTTAACCCAAATCAGCCATGTGAGGATTTAGCTATTTTAGTCAAATGCATGAGAATAATTTACCCATGATATGCGCAAAGAAGTATCACAATCACAAACAATAACAAGCTGAAGAATAGATAATAAATCTCAAATCTTAAAACAAACAGAACCCAACCTCCCATAGACACAGCAGAATAATATCCAACATTAACCAAAACGTACACCTCAATTCTTTCTAGAACTTCAGAACATCAACAAAGAGGAATATGGATGTCATAAATCAGTTAGGGATAGGAGAGAACAATTTCGTTGCTGTCATGGATTTGAAGAAGAAGGAGAAAAGAATAGCACCCACCTCCAACGAAGCTAAAGTGGCAACACCTATAAATCCAGCATGCCTAACGCTGAAGCAGGAAAGGGAAGAGTTTCGACTTGCTCTATTAGCCTCACAACAGCGAAGGAATAACAGAGAAGAGATCCAGCTAGCCTACGTAAAAGAAGGAGAAAAGAAGGGCTTCAATCTGTGATAGCCATGAGGAGGAAGGAGACCAGAATTCAAGCCAGCAAACAAAGGAAATCAACCACCATACCTGCCCACACGAGACCTCAATAGCTGAGAACGAAGAAAAATAAAAACCGAACATGCACACACACCGGTAACAGTCATGAAACAGAACAGAAACGGGAAAGAATACCCAACCTCTTTGCTGTACAGACACGGACGAACAACAATGAAGGAGCACCGGTTGAAGATATGCAAGCGAGATTGAAGAGAAAAATCAGAGGAATGGGCCGATGATGAAGAACCGAAGGAGGGTAATGGCGGTGGAAACAAAATGTAAGGAATGCTCTGTTTTTTTTTTTTTTTTCCTTAGCACGAAAGAAACAAAATCTGATCCAAATAAGCATTGCAATAAAATCACAAAAAAAGGCACAAGAAATTACAAAAAAGGGTACAAAATTTTTCTATAATTTAAAACCAAATTTTACTTATAAAATTTTGGACTCTAGATACTTAAGAAAGTTTCTATCATAAATTCTTATAAATTACCCCTTTTCTAATTGCTATAAAACTTATTTAAATAAAATATTCATTTGAAAATTTTTTTTGTTCAATTTAAAATTTAGGGTCATTACAATTTAATTCAGTTAGTTCTTAAGATTGTTGGCGGTAAGGAAGTAAACTGAGAGCTACTTGAGTCATGCTAAAGGACACTGTTCTTAAAAACTATTTCAGCATACTAGGATGAAAGACTAGCAATACTCTAAGATTAAACAAGCATGTCCTACACAAGCAAGGCAAGCCAATAGCAACACTGACATGAAAGCAACTCAAATGGATACAACACATAGACAAAGGAGGAGGGAAGAAGTGGCTCGAAAACTCTAGAGCCTGCCGACCAGTTCAGTATGCATGCATGCCTCTATATAAGCAAAGGTCTTGGACAAACATTGGGTAGCATTTATTAGATTAATCCAGCATCAAACCTCAGTTACACAAACATAAAATACATTTAACCATTTGTTTGGAGACGCTAGGGGGACAAACATGTTTAAGAAATTTATTCATCTGTTTTAAGAATTCAATTAAAGCTAAAAAAACATTTATGGTTCGAATTCAAACCCCAAACAGCTAAAAAATGAGATTTTCCAGTAAGCCCAAATAAATAATTAATTATTTATTTTTTCCATAAAAATAATCTGGTAAAAGGAATCTAGTGCCTTTTGAACTCGCATGCGGGAGGGACAAATCAATTGTTTTCAACTGCAATTGCTTTGAATTGACTTGTTTTGTGCATGCGAGCCTACTTCTCCTTCAAACCCATTTTACTAGTCCATTTCCTTCTTTAGTAGTTATACACTATGAGCATTCTTCATTTAAGCAATGTAGGACTTTTTTTTTTGACACACACACATACAATTACTACAACAATAATAATTTAAGAAAACTTAAGGGACTAAACCAATCAAAATTAAACTTAAAGGATCAAACTGATAGTTAACAACAAATTTGAGGGACTAAAGATTACATTATCTCAAACTAAAAATTAGAAGTGATAAATTTATTTATATTTTTCAATCAATAAAAGCTAAGAATGAGAAATAAGAAAAAAATACGAGAATCATAGATACATTAATAATGAAAACATGAAGAGAACAAGAGGTTTAAGAGTGACTAGAATTTCTATTAACTATGATGTAGAGGAAATTTAAAATTACAAAGGAAATATATGTCATAAGAAAAACTTTGAGTGGCTCTTCCTTCTAAAAGGTTAGTCTTTTGGGATGCATCTCCCTTTTAGACTTGTGTTCTTATTATAAAGAGCTCTCCCTTCTAATAGACTAGTTTTTTGAGGTGGACTCTTCCTTTAGATTTATGCCCAACACATTAATGCATTCATTGAGAGTCTAGTGTAACAGAAAGGGCTTCCCACAAAAGGTTATGACCAATAAGAGGCTGAATGAAATGCTATGAAATAGAGCAGCTGAGGATGTCGGCTCTCAAACAAGGTGATAATATCATGAGTCCTACATTAGGAAGTCTCATGATAAGTGCGTATTTTATAATTAAATAGGTATATATTTTAGTTTGAATTTGATTATATTTATTAAGATTTCATATCTATGTAATTGATATTTATATATTTTTCCCTCATCACTTAATTATAAGATAAAAAGGAATTTTAATACAAAATCCACTCATATCTTTTTATCTTTATATTTTACAGAGAAAAAGAATAAACCAAATAGAAGGAAAAGAAAATATATATATATATATATATATATTAGAGTCCAACATTGACAAGGAACAAAAGAAGGAGCCTCTACTTTAACTATAAATACTCCCTCCATCAACAGGGAAGGCATCCAATCACTTATCTAAGTATCTCAAGAATCCTCTCTGAGATATTTGGAGATTGTAGAAGCATTCTGAATGCTAAAAGCGAGATCATTGAGAAGTTTCACAAATTTTAATTATTTCTCTTCTACTCCTTAATTTTCTCTATGATCATTTTTCATGATTGAGGATTTTAGAATGATTTTATTTAATTTTATTATGTGTTTTTAAATTACCCAGTTGAGGTAAGGATGTAGCCCAATTGAGGAGCTAGTTTTTCATTTCCTTTGTTTTGACTCTTTGCATTTATATTTATGAATATTTTTACTTTTTCCCAATTATATTTATTTCTATTGTTCTTCATATTGATTTAATGACTAGCCACCATTTAATTAAATCTATGAGTAATCTTGATAGACTGGGAGGTGAAGAGAGAACCTGGATCTAGAGAAATAAATATAAATAACTAGGCTAGGGATAGTTCTAGAAATTTATGGTGACTTAAACTATAGCTTTACGGTTTAATTAGTTATTTAGGTATCGTGAAAACGAATTCAACACTAATTAAAAAGGGACTAATAATTTGGGAGAATATTAGGACACTTTAGGAATAGTTGTCACTATAATTGATTTGAGTTAACTCAAGGGTAGAAAATAGCAACCTATAGGGTGAATCCTAAACCCCAATGCTTCAAGTGATTGCTTTTTTATCATCATTATTTTCTTGTTTTATTTTTATTCCTTATATTTTTATCAAATTTATCCATTTTATCTATTTTTCTTAAACTATTAATTATTTAAATTAGTAAAAGTGTAACTTCCCTGTGAGTTCAACACCTGGAATGCTCTAGATAATTTATTACTGTGATCTTGTACACTTGTAAGAGTGATCATCTCACAAGTGAAATGAAGTTTATAAGTATGAGGGGTTCTCTTTCTTAATAAGTTAATCTTTTGGGATATGTTCTTCTTTCAAACTTGTGTCCCTGACAATATAATAAGAAATGGATCCATAAATTTTTGTACATTTAAAAGAAAGGTTTGATCTAAATCTCTTTTAATCCAAACACACCGTACCATTTGAATATGTTGAAAGTTGTTTCAAAGATGTATATTTGTCTGAAACTATTGTTCGCTCATAAGGTACTTTGGGTGAAGTTTTAGAAGCAACTTCATGAGTATTCTGCAAGTAAAATAAGGAACAAATATTACTTTGAAGACAATATGAAAATCACGAGTTTTGAAGTTGCTTTTTAACATTTGTTTCATTCCTTTTCGTATGATTAAGTTCATCACTTTCTATTTTCTGTTTTACAACGACTCCACTGCAGCCTTAAAATTAACAATATTAAATTATTATTTCAGACAAATAATATTTTGTATATGAATATATAACTTTGAAAATTTGACACAGAAATTCTTTGAAAGAGATGAGAGAAGGCTTCATGGGGAAATGAAGTTTTCTGTATTCAGTACAATGAAATTAAAAGATACGTTTTATATATTATATTTTATCAATTTTGGCTGATTCGATTCATGAATTATCGATACTACTAATTAATACAAGGAACAAAGCCAAAAATTAACTCTTTTCCATATGGTATTGATCTTTTTAGGCATGTGATATGATGCATATTGAACTAGAAAAAAAGAGAGAATTACATTCTAATTCTCCTCACATAATTAAATACCGCAATATTTATTGATAATTGAACATAGTAAAATGATAAATATTAATAATTAGTTATCCTTTTGCCATAATTTAGCTGTCAACCTTATAATATTTGATTGTATTTTGAGGAATCTAAACATTATTATATCTAGAAGAAATCAATACTAATACCATTAATTAAATTTGAATTTCGAAAGGTCATTGGCAGATTGGATTTATTGCATTATTTATTTGGCAGAATTTAAATTTTATTTATTTATTGAACCCGTGTCATTTTTGAAATATGATTCACATCACATCTTTGCCTACTCAACCCGTCTTTATGGACTGACTAACTGCTAGTTTTATTCTTGCCAAATTTTCACTCCTTTAATGTTGCTATTGCTGGAAGTCATATTCATGTGTAAACATTTGATGATTTTGAGGATTGGTTTTTTGAGAAAATACAAGTGTAAGGACAAAATTAAAAATGGGTGTAAATTATATGGACTGATTGATTAATTATATTGTTCCTTTGTGTTAAGCCTTTTAATGATGCCTCATCATGTGTGTGGTTAATTCCCTCTTGCATGTTGACAGCCATATTATCAACTTGTTAGTCATGTATGGAAATCAAGACTAATCATTAAACTGATCAAATTAGATAGTAGTGGTTCAAGTATTTAATAAGGTCAATTAAGTAATGATTAAATTAATATAATTTAATTAAAATATACAAAATATTCATACACACATATGCCTATGGTCATGTTTAGATTAAGAAAAAGCATTAATTGACAAGTAAATAAAATATTCATGTATAAATGACATACAACTAGATTTTATGCCAGATGCGATGAACAGGAATATTAACTCCCTTTTTGTTTAAAGAGAGTAAAAAAAGAGGAGAATATTTTAGTAGTTCAAGTTTTTTAAAAAAAAATGGAAAAATATGTTATAAAATTTTCTAGCCACAAATCTCCGTTTTTCTAAAACTTAAGTCATTAAAATTTTAAATCTCACCTCCTAACCA